CAGTGTCATTACGGTTATTCAATTTGTCCCAGTGCTCTGTTGTTAGAGTCCCATCCTTCATGAAAGATAAGAAAAAAAAAAAAAATACCAGGGAGAAAAGCTTTACCCAGCTCATCCCTTTGGATCCCATATTCAGGGCTCTCCAGACTTGCACACTTGATTTGCAGTGCCATGGTGCCATGTAGCAATCTCCACCCAACTCCAGACATGACAGGCTGGAAGAATCACTGTCCTCTCCCGTGCTTTTCCTACTGCTCATGGAAGCCAGCTCCTCTCCAGCTTTCCAGTACTTCCATGCAAAGGGATCTCACATCCCCACCAGGCAGGGGATTCAGGCCAGGCCTGGTCTGTTTCCTGAGAAACCCAGGACAACCTTCCTAGTCCTATTGCCTGAGTGCATAAAAACCTACTCCAGGCTTTGGTGAACAAAAGCAAACATATCACGCCTAATACAGCTTAAATAGGAACTTGTTCTTCTTTTTAACTTTGTCTTCCTTGCAGAGTCTTGAAACCATCCTCATTTGTACACCAGGAACTGCAGTTCACGTCATGCTGGTTAGCTCTTCATGAATGGCTTCCAGATGTCTGCCCAAAGCTGTGTGAAGAGTTCAGTAATCAGGAGACCCAAACAGTAGGGTCACAAAGTGCACCACAGAAAGGCACAACTATATCTATCATACAAGCTACATCCTCTTGCCTCACTTTCTTCCATCCAAAGCTGCCAAATATTAGGCCCTTTCATCTGTCTCTCTATAGAAAACATTTACAACTCTATCTTCTACACTACATCTCAAATTGACAAACTGATGTTTTTTCTTATTGTACTGTGTGTTTGATTCTGGTCTAAAACACCTACTCTGTCAAGCTATTGCCTCTGCCATATCTGTTATGTGCTGCAGTGAGAAGTCCTCTGTTTATCCAGTTTTACACAGTTTCTTTTATACCTCACTCATGGAAAGTCATAAAACAGAGGTTGAAACATGAAAGTAGGGTGTCGTGGTTACGTTTCCCCTTCAAAATCCACTTTTAACTATTTCTCATCCTTCTTCACACTACTTGGAGTAACCATTCTCAGGACTAGGCATTGTCTGACCTTGTTTTTAGAAAGCTGGGAAGATGAAATTTCCCGATCTGAATGGAAAAGGTTGGCTAATATTTTGTACGTGTTTTTCTTTAGGAAATATGTAGTACCAGAAAGTAGAAATAAAAGATGAAAGATGACTTTCAACCTAGTTCTGCTGTGCAGCATGACAAAATTCCAGATCAGCTCAGGTCTGCAACAGCAAGCACTGACAAAGGCTGCATTTCAGCTATCTGTGTTTACATGACCACTAATTGACAGTGTGACAGTGAATTCATTACACTGGGGAAGCTGGCAGAATCTGTTTGGATAATCCATTTATTCTAATTTTCTTGTCAATTGACAAGGAAAAAGAAAAAGGAAGCACACACCAGAAAAAACATGGTAAGATTAATTTGCAGGAAGGCTGGTTTATATATGTTAGGATGATACAATTACAGACAGTTAAATTTTAATGGCCCGTCTCGATGGCCATTCAAATCAAGTAACATGGTCCACTGACTCTTGTCACAATGAGCTATAGCCAATGCCAAAGTATCATTTATCTCTGCATTTTCACTTTCCAAGAACAGGAGTTTTAGCGTTTTATTTATTTAGGTATCATTCATTTTCTTATTTTCAAGCTGATCATACCTCTACATAAAATGTCATCTCTGGTCTTCAATCATAACTCAGGGCTGGAAGGAAGCAAAGCCTGCTAGGAATGTGGTAATCCTGACAGAACTCATCATCTGTGGACTATGAGGTGTGTGTGAGCCAAAGCATTTGATGGGAATATGCCCATTACACCAAATTTTCTTCATATTACTGTCAGAACTCTGCCTGCTGCAGTGTGCTCAGGCCACCTATTTATGAGCCCCTATCTACTGAATGACTCCATCAGACAGACTGCTATAAGGCCAGGAGCATCAGAGCTTTCAGGCTCTCAGCAATATCACCTGAATATGTGGGAGCAAGAGCCCCAGGTCACCCCAGCTCATGGCAGTCCTGAGACCTTCACACCTGGGACTGTTCTTGCAAAAAGACTTGGATTCAAAACTAATTGAAGACATGCAGCTGCGGAACAAGAGCTAACAGGACCTTCCACCTCTTTGCCCAGGATACAAGGGAAAGCCTTCTGACAGAAAGTGGGTATCCAATCCTTACATTAAATATCTGTTTCAAAGGCCACTCTGGTTTCTGCAAACCCTACTGCATGTGTTTATTTTTGCTTTCAAAGTAGGTCTTATGGTTTTAGCCAGGACGGCTCACATGCATCAAGTTTCTTATGCCCTGCAAGAATGAGGCCTTTCCCCACCTGCCTGCATGAGCCCAACGATCAGACATTTACAGTAAAAAAGCATGGTGTACCAGATGTCTTACAGCTTCTTAGCATCATACCACAAATTTAGTTTTGCTGCCTTACACACAATCAAGTTGAACAGACATATTAATCATATCTGGAGGTAGCCATTTTATTTGCCTTTTAAATAAGACAGTTGATCACAGATGGATTATCTTTATCCCTGTGCACAATGCCATGACCTTTCTGGACTGCTATATAAATATTTAGTCTTTTCTTTTGGCATCCACTCATTTCCTGTGCTTCAAACAAAGAGATTACTAACCGCAAATACATTTGCGATGAATGCTCAAGTAAAAGTAAACTCATCGTTCTCTTCAGCAAACAAACAGAGTAGAAACCTGACAAGAACAAAACCACTGTAGTCTGAAATGTATTCACCACTGCCTGAACATAGGTTAGGATCGCTATTACCATTTATCATTGCCCTCTGGCAAAGCAAGACCCATGTCTAAGCAATTACTTCCTGTCACTGAACTCGTAATGCCCTTCGCTGTGCATATTCATAGCCTCCTTACCACCGTAAAAATTGCAGGCTTTCATGTTGTATAGATTTGAAGAGCTGGAATGAACTTGTGAAGGTAAAAAGCCAGGAGGTATTTGGACAGCAAACCTTATCATGTCATTCAGACCCACTTTCTCCACTGGATATTCCTCCCACAGTCCAGTTTGATAGCCCTATTAGTAAATTTAGAAAAAACGCACAAAAAGTAAAGCACAAAGCATTCTGGCCTTGCTTTAAAAGGCCATTTTTCCAGGCAGTGGGCCAGATTCACATCATTAGCCTCCTTCCTGGCCTTTCCAGGTGACAAAGAATGCTGCTCACCAGTGACACTGTTATTATCAGTTGTGACCACAGAAGAGGAATATTTGAAGTATAGCACCATTTCATGACTATTCATTCGAAAGTACCCTAGGTCCAGATCCCTTTGGTCTGAACAGATGTTAGAAGATTTGGTTGGTTCTGCAGCTGTGAACCCCTTGCTAATGCATCATTTCATAGAAACCTTTCCATTTTAATTGAAGACAGATGGCATGCTGAAAGGGGCCATGTCAGTCTAGCCTAATAACACGAATAAAGCAATAATTATTTCCTTCTGTGTGTTTTTTTTTTTTTTTTTTTTTTTTTTTCAGTTTCAGTGTATTTGAAGCTGTTACTGTATTTTCTGCTTTGCTCTTTAGTGTATAATATGAAATCCCTCAGCAACAGAGGGTACTCCAGATTGGATGCAGCAGCAACAAATACTGCAGACACATTGAGAAACTAAAGAGTTCTAGAAATGTAAGAAGTGCTCCCCTTTTCCCAGCCAAAGCTTAGTAGGAAGGAAAATAAAATAAAATAAAATATAAAATAAAATAAAATAAAATAAAATAAAATAAAATAAAATAAAATAAAATAAAATAAAATAAAATAAAATAAAATAAAATAAAATAAAATAAAATAAAATGGACATTTTCAGGGGAAATGGGATACTGCTTTTCAATCAGTTCTTTACCAAGCTAAGACTGCAAAATTGTTGGCCTCCTCAAAGGTCACTTTTGTTCAGATCATGAAGTGGGGCACTTGCAGAAGAGCTTCAAGAGAAGCTAAAGTCAAATACTTACATACAACAGATCTTGAAGTCAGGAAATGTTTAGGCAACACCAAATAGAAACAAAACAAGAGGAAAAAATCTGTATTATGATACACAGTAATGCAACTAAGACTAAATTATGCCTATGTTAATGATGGTTTAGAGTTATTAGTAATTGTGGAAGTCAGAATAATACAAAATATACTGCACAATACATTTCTGGAGTGGAAAAAACAGGAATCAGCTATCTTGATATTTGTTATATTTCAGTGCAGCTTTGAATCATGTCAGAAGTTTTTAAGACTTTACATTTTATCAAGAGAATGATATTCCAGTTCCAGTGTTAGGAGATTTGTTTTCTACGGGTGTTTTGGACCAATCAAGAATGTGCAAAAGATACAACATCTACAAAACAGTGTTACAGAGGGAGGAAAGATAATGCATTTGCACTGATTCCTTAGGTGTGTGGCAAGCACCGAGGCAGGCTGAAGAGAAAGGGGGAGCTCAGTGGGGAAGGTGGGAGGTATGCAGATAGGGGATTGGAGCTGGAGATACGAGGGAGAGGTTAGAAAGCTGCAAAGGGTCAAGTTAAAGAGGGATCTTCTGAAGAAGCAAGGAAGCTGTGAATGTTGAGAGAAGGTGATAAAATACCCCATGTTGGGTGTTTTGCATGGGAAAGTCATTGCTTGAGTAATACACCTGTTGGCCTGAGGAGAGAAAAAAGGCCAGTGACCGTGAGAACCACAATAGATAAAAGCATAGATTGACTGTTCACTTCCTTGGGGTGACTGTAGTGAGCAAACAGATTTCTCTGTCCCCTCTTGACCTTACTACCTTATCCACAGCCTGTGTCCAGAAGGTCCTTCTTACCTTTGAGAAAAAAAAAAAAAAAAAAAACACTTCCAAAGGCCTTGAGCTTGATCTATTTTTTTTTTTTTAAGTATCCGATTCCAATAGTAAGTTTTATATAAGTGTGGAATCTCTTTTTTCCCCCCTGAATAAATACATCAGTGCTATATTTCTTTCTGTTTATCGCCTGCAGCCTTGCATATGTGAGAAACCACAGACATCTTCCCTTTGGGAGGAAAAATCACTCAAGTCTGTATTAGCTGAAAAACACAGAACTACACCAACTGTTGAGGTAAAGGCTTGAGCTGCTTTCAACTGGAAGCATAGAAGCAAACTTCCAAACTGATTTGTACAGGACTGCTGCTTTCACAGAGGTCTCTATACAGAACAGGGGGCACAGCTTAGCATGATGACTCACAGACCTTCTCCCATGGCACCTGCTAGAGCAATCCTAAGAGCAGACTGAACTTTGGGTTGCTTGCAGGGGTTGGTAGCCACCATCCTTGTCTCTCGTGGGCAGCCTGAGCTCTTTTTGCTTTAAGGCTATTCAGACACATACATCCAGTGTCAAAGTTCTCCTAGGATGGATGTTACAGCCCTTTCAAGTCATGGGCAAGAGAAGTTAGCAGGACATATATACAGCAGATATATGTCCTTTGAAGAGTATGCTAAATGCTAGATACACACTGCTTCCTGCCAGATATACCATCAGTCACCTCAAAGCTCATCTCAAAGTAGTTCCTACAGTCAGACCACGTAGCTGAAGCCATAGGTTATTTTTATTGGCCAGAGATTATGTCCTTTGTCATCACTTTCATACTCTCCTGTCACTCCTCTCTCCTCCTACACTTGCTCTGAGAAGTTACATTGCCAGGTGATGTTAACTTTAAGTGTTAGAACTATGACAGTGATTAATATATGAGCAATTCTGTCCATCTCTTTGAAATAAATTATAAAACTCTGTTTCCTCTCCCCTTAAAAAAAATAATTATTATTATTTCCATTTTTCTAAATACAGTTTTTTTCTTTTTGACATAATTGTACAATACCATGCTTTCTGATACAATGTCACTTTGTACACAGATGTTCTATGTCAACATCCCCTGAAAGCAGCATTCTGTAACTTTAGCATCAGTGTTATTCCAAAATTATCTCAATGTCACACCAGTCAACTACTGTAGATACAGCAAAAATGATAATGTTGCATTATTTTGTTCTGTTTTCTTACTTAAAACATCCTCCAATTGAAATCACACAGTGAAATTGGCCAGTGAAAAAAGAGAATAACAAAAGTTGAATAATTACATATTTCTCAGGACATGAGGTTAGAGGACATACAAAATTTAAGAACAATGAATAGATAAACAGTATGAAAGTTTCTTTCCAAAGCCTTGCAAAAAGAAGAGAACAACCTTCAAAAACAGGCAATGGAATGAACATAAAGTAATCCTTATTCTTAAATAAATAAAGATTGTTACAGGATTATGAACTCAGACAAAACAAGAACAAAGCTTTCTTTCTGATGAAAGACACAGAAAAAAATATAGTGATCCAAGAAGCATCAAGGGCATTTATCTAGATATAAACCATAATTATTATAAGGGCAAAGGAAATCCACAATGCAGACGGCTTTCATTATTATTACAGTAGTGCCAATCTTCATAGGAAAATAAAATGTAATTTCATTATGGTATCATTACTTTATATAGAGACTATGGGCTTAATATAACCTTTTTTCTTCAGATGGAGAAGAACTGTAACAATGATGAACACTTTCAGAAAAAAACACTGTGAGATTTTCCAAAGATAGAAGACATCCTTACCAATCTAAAGACAGTATTGACAGTCACAAAACCTGGCTGTAATCCTCAGTTTTGCCTTTGCAATCTGTGTGTGGCCAAAAAGAGGTCATTTCACGTCGTTGTGCTGGAGCTCATTACATGATGCACTGCTTGCCTTCATTCTGAGGATCTCAGTGGCTTGGTACAGGAACAAAAATGTCTTGTTATAAAACATTTTGGTTGATGAACTCAAATTTTAGTGACAAATTAAGAAAACTTTTGATTTCCTTCATTCAGCTTCATTCACTATTTTCTCTACTACAAATTAATGCTACCCTTCTCCAATACAGTATGAAACTAATTTAAGTGCCATTGTTTTCAGAGGAAATGGGACTAAGGCTTTCATGGAAACTACAGGCAGTATTGTGGAAACACTGGAAACTACCATGGAAACTTATTCATGGAGGGCATAAGAAGCAGAAAGAGTTAGTCATTTTTGAAATTATGCAATTTGTAAGGTGTGTGGTTAGTTCTGGCAGTGAGAAGTGAGATTCTTTAACAGGCCTAATGAACAATGTCAAATTCTATGCTTAAATATTTAATGTGATTTAACTGCCCAAGAGTATCCTGTTGCAGGTTGTCTGGCTTTTGAAGCACATGAAATCCCATCAGACTCTGATGCATATAATGTTACAACCCTAATAGAGCTGTCAGCATATGACACAGATGTCAGCCTCCTCTTGGGGGATCCCTATTCAGAAATAATTAGTTGGTGGCATCAATGCTTTAAAACAAAGGAAAGAACCCAGATAAGAGATGCTAAGTGATTCCAGGCTTTCTGATAATTGAGCATGCACACAGAGCTTGAATTTAGAGAGGACTGTTGGTGGTGTGACCACAGCTTTAGGTTCTGCCTCTAACCAGCATGTTGCTTGAACTGCTAAAGAAATCTGGTTGTTTGGTTTACAATATAGGGGACATATTCTCAGGTTATATAAGCAGCTACCATATAGGAAGATGGTACTTTATATCATCTGATGGTCTGTGGAATAATGAAGATAATTTTCTAATAAAATTTCGTTATTTTTAGGGAGTTTAGTGAATGGAAATTTCGACAATGTCACTTTCAATGTGTGAATGGTTTTATGAGCCTTTCCTCCCCCCCATCTACTGTACTCCAGGGTGTTTAGCAAGATTAATACCAGGATACATCACTTGAAAAATAAGTATGGAACTAATCACAACTGCCTGCAGCATTAGGCAGCCACCTCTCTTCTATTTCACAATTGTTTTCTCTGAAATTTGCCTGGAGACATAGGAAGACTAAATACCTGGTACAATTATGAAAACAATAAATCCTCCCCTCACAAAAAAACACTGATATTTCAAACTCAGATGTGCTAACCAGTATAAGAAAACTCATGTTACATCACGCTGAGACTCTAATAGAAATTAAACTATCCCTCATCTCAGCTTCATTGATCTGTGCTTTGTAATCAGAGGAGTTGATATTTCTAGCACATACATGTCTGATTAATAGGCAGAAGTTGTCTACCTGGTAGATACTATCGCTAGGGATACAGTTGTCACAAAGGGGAATTTTCTTTAAGATAAACCATCAAAAAGCCTGTATCCCTCATAGTTTCCATTTATTTCTTTCTCCTTAAAGGCTTTAGTGTGTTTACATGCAACATTTTTTCTGATGGTTTGGCTATAAAAGTTGCTGACAGTAACATATACTCATCTTTAAAATTACAGTCCCATTAAAGGCATTGAGCTTCAGGTATTGCTTTCTGAAAGTTTCTTCTACACTAGTCTAGCTGTAGAAAGAAGTCTTTTCATAAATGAGAATGAACCTCATTGTTTTGAAAATCTGCAGCAGCATTTCAAAAGCAATCAGTGGCCTCTATTGAAAAAAAAAGTAGTAACAGTCCTCAAGAGGACTGAAAATGGCTTAAGTGAGAAAAAATATGTAAAGTTTTCTACTGATATGGTCTTATTGAACCAGCCTACATTATGAAAGGTAAACTTATTTTCTGCATACCACATTATTGCCTCTTCTATACTAGTGTCTGAAATGAAAATCAAGGTAATACAACTTCAGGTAGCCTTGGGCTGCAAGAGACCATTTTCCCCATCTCTGTACAAGCACATTTGCTTATTTATCTTGCAAGACCTTTGCAAGAGAATCTGGACTTCCAGTGGGTCATGCTGGCATTCAACAACTGCTGGATGTACGTGATGGCAGGATTTTCATAGCATATGGCAAGGTAGACCAAGTATCTCCCCTACCCAAAGCACATTTGCTTGGTGGTGGGTGCATTACCAGGCTCCCTGACATCAATGGCACCATATCAGATCAGTGGTTCTCCCTGTAGTATTTGAGAATCATAGCAGGGACTTCTTGGCAAAGTGAGGAATTTCTCAAATCTAATATAGAGCCTAGAGTCCTCTCCCTCCAGCACAAGAATAAGCAAAACAAAAATGGGGAGTGGTGATATTTTTCAGTGTAGAAATAAAAATATTTTTAGAAGATGTTGAAAACAACAAAAATGCACTTTTAGCTTTTGGTTTATTACTATCATTTGCTTGCTGTTCACTTTCAGCATTCACAAACAATGAACAACACTGATGTTATCCAGTAATAAAAATCTGCATAAAATTAAAAGAAAATAAAGCTTGGAGGCCTCTGTGTTTGCTTCACTTGGAGCTGTCAGAGCAAAACAAAGCAGAAGGCCCTATTAACCATGTAGTTACGGAGGCAGTAAGAAAACAAGGGTATATCATTATAATGTGTTCTGATGCTTACAATTGGACAGCAAGTCATTTTTTAAGAATATCTAATTCAAGAGCTTCAGGACACATACAGCTCTGTGTAAAAATCTAAAAGCCTCTTTTTTCTTTTTATTTTAATTAGTGCAGTTGCTTTGCACTTTAAAATGCATTACAAATCACTATTAATTATTAAAATACGTCAGCATTTACTACAGAAAAAGACTTTTCTCACAACACGTAGAGCAGCTAGAGTCGTAGATAAGAGTTGATCTGAGTCAAATCTGTCCTACAGTGAGGCCATTTGTCCTGATCCATGGGCTGAGAGAGGAAAACATCAGGTGCTTCTAGAAGAACCAAAGAACAGCCTTTTTTCTACACAACAATTCCCTCTAGGAATTTTGCTAAGCTTACTAATTCTTGTCCCTGTATGAGCCAAAAGTTGTGTGAGCACTAACCAGGGGAAATGAGCCAAATGATACCTGCCATCTGTGTGGCAAGGGTGGCATGGGACAAACCTAGATGTGAAAAGAGTGGTAGAGTTTGTCTAAAGGAAGAGCATACTGTCTGGAAAACCTGAGCCAAAATTTCAGTGTTTCATGTGGAACCTGTGGACAATGCCAGGGAGCTGAGTGAAAACTAAAAAGAGCCTGAAATCACTGAGTGATCATCACTTCCTTCTTCCAAGCTCAAAAATAAAAATAAAAATCAAGAATGGAAATTTTGGCAAAAATCATCTGATCTAGCTGTTTGAATTGTACAGGGATAACTTCTCCCAGTAATGGGTGCTCACTCTCTCGGGTAGGTTGCAAGCCTCCCACATGAGCTATAATATATTTCTCTACACAAAAGCCCATCATAGTCAGTAGAAGCCCATCAGCCAAAATCCAGTATCCCATGTAAAAGCAAAGCCAAATTCCCCCCTAGGAAAACCCTGAGCAGATGTACTTTAAACAAGAGACAGCCTTGGAACAGGAGAATTGAACTCCTACCTACGAGCTAAAACAAACACTTCCTTCTGGCAAGGAGGCTGGGACTAAACCAGTATTTCTGCTGTTTGCCCCTTGTGATGTCTCAGAACACAGGCACACTTGTTCCTGAAGCACCGTCCTTGTGCAATTGCACATGACTGTACACAGCTCTGTCGGAAAGTGTAGCTATTTGTGCAGCCTCAAGGAAAGACAGCCAAAAGTCAAGCACCAAAGTAGGAGTCACAGAGAAACATACACGGATATTTCTCAGTTCAAGTACCATTGTCTTCCTAACGTTGTCACAACCACTCAAAGTAAGGAGTTGCACATGAACAAAAGCATCCATATCCCAGCTGGCAGGTATCTGCACTTACTGCACTTTATTAAAACATTTATGGAAGAGCAGCTTCCAAGAAGACTGGGTCTAGCACAGAAGCAGCATATTCATCTAAGGTTACCTCAGAGTCCAGATGTCATCCAGCTCGATCCATGCCTTGGAACCTGACTGTGGCTGCAACATTTATAATTCACAGAAGAACACCATAATTTAGTCTGGCTTTTTAAAAAATATATAAGAGTTTTACATGCATGCTGAAAACTTACAGTAGTTACTGACAGCCAAAACTTGAGAAGGCCTTAATCTACCTCATTCCTTGATTGAGAGGCCAAGACTGTGTTGTTCAAAGCCCACCCTCAACCGCTTCTCAGAGGCACCTTGTTCCCATATTCAGCTAAGCCTAGAGATTTAGTTCTGGGCATGGTTTGGATGGTTGGGTGGGGTTGTGGTCATAAAAGTTATTTCTGGCTCAGTAAGGCTGATCTCTGCAGCACCTCTTCTGGCCAGAGGAGTGGGATGGGCTCCCCTGCAGGGCCATGCAGAGCAGAAACCAAGCCTTAGGTGCTCCTGGACGTCTTCTGGATGAGCTTGCTTCTAGCCATTCACTGAAGGGGGAGATCATAAAGTGGTGCTTCCTGAGATCACACTCTCCACTTCCATGGAAGTGATTAGGCCTGCCAGAGAGCAACTCAGAAATAGAGGACAGTTTGCAGCTTTAGAGACTTACCTCTCTTATCCAACTCACTCACAGTCCTGTTCCACAACTCAGTGGAGACAGCATATACTGTCAGAGATACTGTGTTAGCTTTGTTCACCAGAAAGAGAGAGAAGGGCAACATTACTGTGAAGTTTCACCAGTGTGTGGGTCCTAATTCAGAAAACAAACACCTCCATAACTGTAATCACTAATCCGAAATATCATTACACTTCAATGAAAGTATAGCTTTAAGCACAAAAATGTTTGCTGTGCAGAACTGGCGTATTGAATACTATCTCAGGTACCTATTTCTGAGAAGCAGAAAAGCTTTTTAAGGAGCCTTCATCCTTCGTTTAGCTGGAAGTGACTGAAATAGCTGCATTAAGTCTGATGGCTGTGATGCTCACCCTGCAAATCTCATGTTCCACAACCCCTCAAATACTTGTACTTTATACTCAGCAGATTACTGCCCTGTTCCTTGATGCTGCTTGTTGCAGGCAGACTCTAAGATGAAGCAATTTCTGTAGTACTTTTAAAGAGATGCTGAAGTAAGAACTAATGGTACAGTCCCATCCATCGATTATTCCCCTGACCCATTATCACTATGTGAATACTCATAACTCTAATTTGCTCTGGGCTTCCTGAGAGGCTGCCAATGTGTTGCTTTTGTTTGTACAAAGTTTAGCTCTCTCTTGATAAGCTTCTGAATTCTATAATAAAACAGCAAGAGCAAAATGTACTCTGGAAGGTGGCCTAATACAACGCTGTGGCACCAATTTTAAATCACAATGTCACTGCCTTTTTGGAACATTTTCCCATTCTAATGTGAATGTCAGCTGTGATAAAAATATTAAACAACAAACTTTGAACTATTTTGGTGCTCTGATGAAATGTTTGAACAATACAGTCATGCCAATTTAGCTACATTTTATAATAATCAGTAGTTTGGGACAAATTATAGAGTAAACATAGCAAGTCTAAACCAAACAAGTGCTTTTAAAGATATTCTAAACAAAAACATATTTAAGCCTATTGTTATTGCTTTTAGTACAATCACCATGGAAACTATATGAAATTCACTTCTAATATCCATTCTTTCTTAAATGCTTTGTGGTGCCTAAATGATACATGAATTTGCACATAATTGGTTTGGTATTTTAATGGTCAGTCATGGAACAGCATGTCCCTTGGAACATGCTATAACTGAGATAATTACTGCATTTACTGCATGTAAGTTTGTGCCAGCTTCATTATGAAAGAAAAAGGGAGCAAAACTTTTAAAATATCAATGTATGTTCTGGGTTACATATACCTCAATTCACTGCAAAGTTTTAAAATTCCAACAGAGAAAGACTTGGTCAGACTCACCCCTATAGTAAACACAATTAAAATCAAGTTACATTAGAAATTAATTTGTTTCACTAGCTTCAGGACTAAGACGTAAATTTCCAGGCTAGAGGCATGACCATGTGCACAAAAATGTGGTGAAGACTGGACTGCTGAAGAAGTGGGCTGCAGCAAGACAGAGAAGTCTCAAGCATAATGAGTGGGATATGACATGCCTGAGTGTATGACCAATGAAGGAGGCATAAAGCCGTGTGTGGATGCCACCATGGGCAGACAGCAGAGGTCAAGTGAAGAATCCCTATACAAACCTCATTTCCTTAAACAAAAGTGGCATCTCATGCATGTGAGAGATTCATTTTCCCTATTTCTCTAACAATTAGATGTGTATTTTTCTTATAGGTACACCATGGCAAGGCAGTGGCTTTGGTAGTGCAGATTTGGAGACAGGCCAGCAGAAGCCAAGGCAGAATTTTCAAAGAACAATTTTTAAGTTAAAAATTACAGCATTGGCCCAAAGAAAATGTGCAGTGATAGAAAAAACACAGTTGAAGACAAAATTTTAAAAATATGTATACATTCTTTTCAGCTGGCTTTTTTATTGAAATGCTTAAAATTTAAATTTGAATGTGTAACCATCTGTCTCAAGGATAAGCTCAGTATAAGCTTTTATTCCAATTTACATACATCTTACTTTGCAAAATGCTTCCTGAAACTCATGCTAAGCAATGCACAGAGGAAGCAATGCATTAATCTTCCAAGGACACAGTACTTCCTTGATGTGCTTTTTAGTAAAAGACCCATAGAAAAGACTTCAGGCAATGCTGTTCAAACTGCTGTATATTTCTAAGATCCCCACCTTGAATCAGTTTCTCTGGGAGCAGAAAAGGTCAAGTTGCACAGTAGAAATACACTCTCTAGTGGTGAAATCCTAGTCCTCATGTCACTTCTCTCTGTGGCTCCATCACGTTCCCTTTGTTCTCCTTCCTCTTTCAGGAGATTAACAAAAAATTCATCTGATGCACGTTGTTACCAGGAGCTATTTTTGTTGAAGCGGGTGTGGTTACCAGCCTTTCTCAACCTAAAAATTAAAATGGAAACGTTGAGACTTAGAAAAGAAAGCTTCAACAGTTATTTCTTCACCATATGCACTCATTGAAGGAAATGAATGATCATCATCTATATACACACACACGGATATTTTATAAAAGAGCAGTTATTTTATGAAGGAGTATTTAATGCAAAATCTTCCCCTACTAGAGAAATAAGCACACAATTGACTTGAATGCTGCAATTAAGTGACCACAGGGGATGTCTTTGTATGGGCCATCTATAGTCCTGGAAAATTTATTCTTTGTTCATGAGAAAAAATGAAGTTGTGATGTTTAACAAGCTTAAAATTATCCTTATAGTAACCATTTATGGTCTCATCCACAAATCGTTCAAAGGTATGTTTATAACAGAAGTTGGAAACCTGGACCCTAAGGACAGTTACAACTTGAAACCAAATTTCATTTGTTTTGCTGCTGTTTGTTGCATGTACATAATTACCGCACCTAGAATAGTTCTCAGATGGAGAAGTTTTCCTAAATTTTGCCTGTGTAAATGCCTGAAAGGTACACAATCATGTCAGATTTTTGTCCACAGATGAAAATGCATGCAGCTGCATCCTGAGGCAGTTGCAATGGGAGATCATAAGCTTTGCTGACTTCAATGAAATGAGAACACCTTCCTTATCACCCATTTATAACCTCTTTGAAGTGTAACGTAAGCTAAAGAGCCCACTTTCAGGAATACCATGGCCAAAAGTCGTACGATTTCATTTCTGTATCCTATCTCCCTTTGCACTACTCTACCCCTTGCACAACATTTAATCTATTCTTTGCCCTGCATTTAGATGCAGATCACTCTCAGTGTTCATTTATGTGTAGGACTGTTGTTTTCTCCTTTGTTGATCTCCACCATGGCCTCCCAAGAGTTTGGGAGAGTTTGGCCACAGAAGTACAGCCACATGAAAAAATATATATATATTTGGAATGTGTTATCATTTTGACAAGGGTAATCAGCCTGTCCACTTCTATGATATTTGGCATCAGATTGCTTCTCTGGACATTCACTAAAATCAGGAGAGATTGCATTTTTAAGGCTTCACTGGTAAACCTACTTTAGCAAGCAGTTTTGCCCAGTAGCAATGGATCGGTAGAGGGAAGCAGCTGGAGCTGTGATATATGCAGTTCAAGGGTTTTAATGTGGACTGGTTCCCTGAGCCAAACATTCCCAGTACGTGTCTGGTTGACCAAAATGTGGTTGAGACTCTAATGACATGGGTTGCACATCTGGAGCAGGGCCTCCAGTCCACTTTCCTCTGAATGAAAGCTGTTTTACATGCACCAAAGCTGCTCCACAGTCTGCAGCACCACATGTTGGACTTCACAAGGTGCAATGGAGTAGGTTTGGCACACATCATGGAACGGGAACGAACGGGTCACACGGTTTAGGCTCATATAACTGTCAGATTAGTCCATTATGCAATAAAAACTCTCTTTGATCCAAGGCACTTCTTTTCCCCAGTTTTGAACAACTGAGAGAAGAAAATGGGGAAATGACAGCATGTAAGGTATGCATAATGAGCATTCCCAAATGAAAAGCTTGATTTATTGGTACATGAAATTTTCAGTATGTATGGCCAGGTGAAATTTGATGTAGTGAACTACAGCAGGCTGTGAGGCCAGCGTGGGGATGGTCATTTAATCATGTATGGGCAATCTCAAACATCTGTACCATTTGCAGCACAGCTGTTTGAGATCGCCCATACATGATCAAATGACCACCCTTTTCCCTTGTGGGGTATCAGCAACTAGCATACTCAGGATCTGTTCCTATTTTTTGGTTGTAATAGAAAACCTGACCACAGAATATAAGGCTGGAATATCATTTTATCCAACATTGCCCTGTTCTGCACCACATTAGGGTCAAGATCCAAATTTCCATGCTAGACTCCATTCCTATTATAAGATAAATTAAAATCCAGACCAGAATCAACAATTTTGGGGATACAGGGAGGGGAAAGCACGAATTTATATCTGAATTTTGCAGCTGAGATAAAAGTCAAGACTTTATTTTTCAAGATTGTGAAGTTCAGAGTAATTTATCCTTTCTGTGAAAGCCATCATTTTCTTATCATGAAATCAATACATTGGCTCTCATCTCACTTCTGACCCTGCCACTTAACCTCCTCATGTGTCTTTCCTGGTGTTTTATTTTATTTCAAGAGCTATCATTCTGTCCGTTTTAAATCTGAATGGAGGTTTCAGATGCCTTGAGGGGAAAACTTTCATGTGTGTTCCTGAAAGAGCATGGGCACATCTGTTCTTTTTGATACATTGATGCAGGATCAAGAAACTTCCACCAGAGTTACTTTTGGTTCTTGAGGAGAGTAAATGAGCTCAAAGCATGTTCTTGCCAGTGCTGTATTTGAAAACAAGAGGGAGATTTGTCATGTCAAGTGCAGATGAATTCAGAGCATACCCTTCGAAGCATCTTGTTCTAAACCACAAACTGCATAATCAATATAAAGTGTTCATTTACCCTGCTATTTGTGCACAAGTGTATACTTAGGCTTGAGTAACTGGATAACACGGAGACCATATGCTGCTCCCACTATGTCAGCAGTGGTTTTCTTATTGATTTTTGAAATCTGCTTCAGCATAATCTTACACTGTATTAGACTATGGGACAGCTGCCCCATGCCTTCATACTTCACCCAGTAGTTTGATGCAAAAATAGCCTGCAGTTGAGTGGTACTGAGCCAACCTGTTTCAGCCCAAATGCAACCAATCTTTTTTTCCCTGATGCTTTTTTGCACTCTGGCTCCTGTAAGCCTGTTGTGCTCTGGGAGCTCCCACCCAAGTCCTGAGGCCAGTGTCACACAGCAACACTCTTCAAGGGTGCTCCCACCATTACCCCATCAGCACCCCAGGGGCAAACAGCAGCGGGACAGCTTTGCTAGGAAAGTCCAAATTACAGCACTGAGGTCACTAAGCCAGTCACTATGAAAATTGCCTTAGTCCAAAAGGAAGCTTTCTGCAAAGTCTTCAAGCCAGGGCAGCAATGCAGCCAGCAGAGTGACAGCACGGTGGGGTGACTGATGGAGTGGCTACAAGGCTGAACAGGAAAGCCACAAGAGAGGAGACAGGATGTACTTCCCAAAATACAAAATAAGATGTTTTCAGAGGCCACAGCCACAGAGGTCTGATTGTAATGGTAGAGACCAACAAGGTTTCTAGAAGTCCTCAAGCACATTATAAATGAGCAGAAACGAACAAACCCATTTGCATTCCTGCTGGAAAGCAAGCTTTGAGCCTGTCTCTCTAAAGGGGAAAAGCTAATGAGCTCCCATGCCTCCTGTGTCACTGAGGTTGGAATTATGACAATATCTATACCCAGCACTAAATGCACAATAATTATTTCCAGATGTATGTAAATGTGACTGTTTTTTTCCACATTAATCTTTCACACAGCTTATATACGTTGTAGAGCTCAGATGTTTACTTAGCATTCAAATAAAACATAAAGGGATTAAAAAAACCTATCTGGTCTGTTAAGCTTCCTTAAAATGGAGTTGATAGTATCTGCCTAACACTCTAGCTTGATTTCATTACTGAAATTACTAGGATTTATGTAACAGTCTTGCTTTTTTTTCCAAGGCCTATACTTTTGCCCAACTAATTCAGTTCCTGGTATCCCTGCACAATGAAGTGAAAATAACCTCTGCATTCTATGCCAATGGTGCCACTTGTGTTCTTTATCACACATCCCCACAGTATTTTATTTCTGGGCTAACTCCTGATGACTTTGAATGGAATAGATGGGTCTCTTGTTCTTTGCATATGGCAGCATTAATGCACAGTAATTATAGAAAGGTTGGTTTCCTTTTGCAAAACAAACAAACAAAAAAAAAGAGTGATGCAAGGGACCTTCACTGCACCAGCCTGGATGACCGAGCCGCAGAAGGCAGTGGCAAGCTTACATCTTGCCTTGCCAACAGAACTGCGCATGCGGCATGCTGTGCTCATGTCAGCTGGCGACCTGGTGCCATTCCTTGCTCACTGTGTCAGCCATCCTTTCCCCATCCACCTGGAGGGAGGCACTTGTCCTCATGCATTCACCCAAAGATTTTCTAGTGGTGGGAGATTTCAGCAGGGGCAGCCACACCATCAGCAGTGTTCAGACCACATGCTATTCAAATATATGAAAATGTGAGTCTTTCAGTGAACAGCCGGCCCAGAGAAAAGTCTATCAGAGATGGAGTCATCTCCAGCTGTTCCTATGTCTGCAGAATGTGTTGTCTTTTGATATTCAGGTGTAGAGGCAAGATGCACATGGTATTGTCAGATGCCTCCCTGCAGGTATACCCCCAGCTTTGCCCTGGCCCTTCAACACTTGTCAATAAATGATGGGTTTTAAACACTAGACATACCACCTTGTTTGATCGCTTGGCAATTTTTGTGAACTGCTGTCATTTGAAAGTTAAACATGCTGTTTATTTTTAGAGACAAACCTGACCTTTACAGTCTGAGCTGGATTTCAATTTCCTCTTCACCTCTGGGGAAGTCCAATAGCTTAAGGTTTTCATCCTTGTTGTAAGCAAGGTGTCATGGTCAGCTGTAATGTTTACACGAAGCCTGTGTTCAAATAGTGAAACTTTCCCCTAGGAGTCTTCAGATCTCATAGGGTTTGGTCCATGTCCATAATATGCAGTAGATCAAAAAGAATGTATATCACCTAATTCAAAATTTCGTACAAAATACAGACTGATGTTGTGAATCTCTCTCATGCTAATAATCAGATGGGTGTCCATTAATTTATTCATGTATAGATCATTCCTGTTCATTAGTGTCTGCAGACTCTGACTAATGTTTGGTTCTGTTTATCTTTATGGATCCAGCTCCACCAAATAAATGTCTACACTAAACCCATCACTCACCAGATCATTTTATCTTCTTTGAATAACACTAATAATGGGCTATGAGTACCATAAATAATGAATATGGAAAGAGACATTCATTTTTCCACAGCTCTCACTGAATTATATATCAGACATTTTATCAAACAGTCTAATTGTTAATACTAAAACAACAGTATTGTTTACCAGAAAAGCTTTCTTTGCACATGCCTTTTTAGGACAGGCAGTAACTAGATACCAGTGCTTTTTGTTTCTCAGTGCTCCCTACCCTGCAAAGTTCAACTGCCAAGAGTTCAAATGACTCCTCGATGACATATAAGCAAGAATACATGAGATTATGTGATCACTCTTCCAATTTTCCCCAGGTGAGAGGAAAGCTACCTTTGCAATTCTCTTATCAATACATTACATTTCCCTGAGCATATCTTTGGGGAGGGGAGAAAAGCACTCCTGTTTTTTTCTTCAATAACCAACATGAAATTGAAACAAAGGACTATGTATGCACCCATCTGCAGCCGGTTAGACCCCTTCTGATGGCCTTAGGGTCTTCTCAGTGTACTGCCCCCAGCAGCAGCAGCATTGCCATCTCTGGCAAGACCAACCTCTTGGAAATACTTGGTACCAGCTCCCTGTTTCAGCTGTCATGCAGGAGTTATTTTTCCCTTACATCTCTCCCAAAATTTTGTTTAGGCAAGACTAACACCTCAAAACAACCATTTTTTACTCATGTATGTGTGATTCATATTTCACTGTTTCTTTTAGTATTGTAGCCTGTGTGATTTTGCATCAATCACTAAATATGTTAAATGGAAATCAATAGCCAGATATTTCTTGACCTGTAAAATCTTCAGCATGTCTTCAGAAACCCCCTATTTTTTTTTTCTGTGTTATAACTGCTCTGTTTGCTTTCCTAATAAACATTGGGACAATGAGTTAATTGGGATCTCAGATCTTCCTCTGCATCAAAGCTTTCAGAGATATCATGATCATTATTACTATCCTATATTGAATAATCAGAGAGGTAAAAATGTCAAATTGTCATATAGCTAAATCTTCTGCTTTGTTAGAGACTCTGAAAATTTTAAGTCAATCCATATTGCTTTTCTTTTATTTCCAGACCACCCACTTGCTCTTTTGTACTGCATCTCAGTCACTTTTGTTATCAACTCTAATTTATTATAGACTACCTAAAGAAAAGTCAACATTTAGTAAAGGCCATATTTTCCCAGTTATAAATGGAAAGGTTTCTTCCTGTGTTTATACAATCATATTTCTCTTCAGTATATCAAATGATTTTAGGGACTCTGACTAATGAAAGTTTGGGACAGGATAAAAATAAACCTTGATGGGTTTTGCTGCAACGAGCTACTAAGAAGTTTGTGTTCCTTGGTTCTTTTTTATTTATTTTATTTTTTTTCCTCCTGCCAGTTTCCAGTTTGCAGCATGAATCTGAAACATATGAGTAAATACTCAAAAACTTCCACTGTGGTCTTTGATGCTTGTATCTCAGGAGTGTATTCAGCTTTTCGGCTCAGAGTCATGAAGGTGGTCTCTTATCCAAGGTGAATGTAGGAAACACCCCCTGCTTACAAGGTAAAATGATGGATTAGCATTAGGGGGGAAGGCTCCTTATTTTACTTGTATTTCTTTTAAACAATATTTTTACAGCATTTGGTTCAAGGCAGTAGATCTCTTATAACAGCATTCCTGCTATGAGGATGAGAATTATAGAGGGCAAGGCAAAGAAGAGTAAGTCTTTCAGGAATTATTCTTCACAGCATTATCTCATCACCCACATTAAGCTATGATGTCTTTTTCTGAGTAGGAGGCCTCGTTACAACTCTGAGAAAGCACTCAGAGAAGAGGAATTACACGTTCTCATCTATGAATGACCTCTATTCCTTGAACTTCAGCTTCAAGTGATTTAATCAGGCATCTTTGCCAAGAGGCCAAAGCTAGTGTTCTTGTATGCTAATCATTACTGCGGGCTGCAACAGGCTTGTGGGTTTCACTTGTCCAAAGTCATGGGAAAGCCTTTCAGATGACTGAAGCTCTCCTTAAGCCTGAAGCAGTAACAGTTTGTACTGGTGGAGGATTCTTCTATCATTGTATGATGAATCAGCCCTTCATTACAACTATGGGTTTCTTTTCCTTTCTTAATTAGAAGCAAGTAATTAAAGAAAACCAATCCTACATGAGATCAGTAAGAAATTGAAAGTCAAGTCCTCCACCACAAAGAGTGCATCAATGCTCACTAATTCTGGTATTACGGTTAGCCCCTTTACCAGAAGCCCATTCCAGCCTGGGTACCTCATCTGGGGCTTCCCACAACAACAGGCGAGCTTTGCAGGGCTCATTTGTTGCCATGTTGTGGATATTTGTCTTCTAAGGATGGGAGGAAACCACAAGCTCCTTTTCCACTGGCTAATTGATATTAAAGACAGAGCTCTAATCAAATGGTAACAATATTTAGTTACAAGCCACCTGGGATGACATTTGAACCAGAAACCTTGTGGTACAAATAACATCCAACATCCCATTCATCTCCTGTAGCTGGCCAGAAAGGCTGAAGGAACCTGTTTCCCACAGGCATATAATCACATTCAGGAAACACACAGCCCAGAGCAAACACTGCTATGTTTTGCCACATTCGTCATCTGACACACTGCTTCCATCAGCCAGCACCAGAGCTGGGCAAGCCAGGCTGCCAGGGGGAGCTTAGTGAGCTTGCTCACACTGCTAAATATGCTGTCTGCTGCATTAGCCTTCCTCTATTTAATCCCTTTTGTTCCATCTGGGGAACCAGTGTGGTGCCTTCAGTAGCTCCTCTTTGGTTTATAATGATTTCAATACCAGTTAGACATACCATTATCTCTGGGACAATAAGTGATGGGCTCTGCTATGGGTGAGTTTCATCTTCACTCCAAGGTAAAAGGTTGAAAAACTTCAGAGCTGGCCCCTTGAACATGGGGGCTTCCAAAGTCCGCACAGGAGCATTAGGTGACCAAATTCCCTGCGCAGCCTGTAGGCACAGGGGCACAGCCAAACAAATTCCGTGTGATGTCTCAGTTTTCACCTGCAGCGATTCAGTGGCTTCTTGGAAAACCTCCTTGCTTTGAAACTACTGAGGGGTTGCAAGGAATGCAGCAATGAAATCCAGCAGCAGATTGGGCAAACAATTGCTTAGTGAAGGTGTTGATAAATGCTTTCTGTAGAGTCTGGAGCCTTTGTTAACTATTCAAAAGTGTCTTTGAAAGAACGAGTTAACCTGCCAATTTAGTTTAATAGCATTGGATAAACAAAGGCAATAAATAAATAAATAAATAAATAAATCAGTCTTATATTTCATCCCCCAACTTTCACTGGCTTTCTTCTGTCCACAGCAGCCTCCTGTAACTGCACAGTAGTTTCTCAGTCTCTTGATGGCTACAGGCTTCTGACCAGGCTGAGCTGTCCCTGCCTGTGCGGAGGGCACCACGTGGCAGCTGTGCCCGTACCTCCTCCAGCAGCTCCTTGTCACCATGTCCCCTGGTCTGCATGTCCCACAGCAGATCCTGCCTCCAAGGGAGCAGTAGTAAATGTCCGCCAGCATTTCTCTTAGAGCAGCTCTGTGTTTTTGTGACCCTGGAATATGAGCAGGAGGGGGGTAACTTATGAAGCAGAAATTGCAGAGTTGGTCTGAAAAGAGAGGCATGAATCAATTTGTAGCAATAGCTCTTTTAGCTGAGCTTCTCTGGCTCTGAGATGAAGAGAAATGGGGTCAAGCCTACCCCGATGTTTTGCTGTGCTTGATTAAATACTGCCCTACAGAAACAGTTGTAAGAAAGAAATCAAAAGCATGATAGAGATATGCAAGCCATTGATAAATAGGGTCAAGGTCTCACCAATTCTATTACCTTCCATTCAACTCTTCTTTGTCTGATGTTATTTCACTTAGGTTGTCTCTGTGTAAATTCTGGCTGGGATAAATATAGATGATAATGGATTAGTAATAATAAATAAATAAAGACGTATCATCTGTTTTATATCTCCTGGGCTAAAATCTTCTGATCTACTTAGGATAAAGCTTATTCAAATTCCAAAGCTCCCCTTCAAAAGACACATAATAATTTATTACAGCCACAGCCCTAAGAATAAGAGTCCACTGTCTCACTGGAATTTTAATTGACAATTGGGTAATGGTCCAGACTGCAGGTATCCGGGAGACAGCGTGATATGAGTGGAATTCAGCTCACTCATCTATACCAAAACCCACTGTACACTTTATTAAAGTGTGTTGGCATTTACGCCTGAAGAACTGCAGCATAAGCATGGTTGCCTCTGAGCTGGCACCTTGTTAGGGAATAAGCTAGCAATAAGGACAGAAATCATAAGAAACTAGGTACAATGTGCAATGACTGGTTTTAAATAATCATCTACATTTTTCTCTGGCTATGGGGTCATTAGGGGTAAAGCGGAAAAATGCCAGCTAGTCCTAAATACAAATGATTGACAATGTCTGAGAAAAGCTGGCTAGACATGTAGCAGTCTTGTTTACAGCTCAGCCTTCTTTGATTTAAAACCCAAATTAATTTGTAAATGAGTGGCCTAGTTTCATCTATTGCCCTTCCAAAATACAAATCGTGGCATGCAAAGATAATTTCAGCCGACTCAGAAACCCAGTTACTTCCAGTCATTCATCAAAGCACTAATATCGCTCTTTAATCAGGGTTAGAGCAAAGTTTTAAGAGCAAAGCATTAGCTTCACACACCATTAGCTACGAGTGCCTCAGGCTGTACATCAGATGCTTGATCAAATGGCACTCATGTTGTCCCATATACCAGAAAATCAAGGCATTAAATATTACCTTTCTTTGAGAGAATCTCAGGCACATTTGACAAGGTCATGTGTATTGATATAGTCTATTTGAATTTCTACAAGGCATTTGATTTAGGAGCACATGACATGCTGTTTAAAAATTATTTTACACAGAAATAACAGAGCACACATTAAAATAGCTAAAAATGCCTGATTGGCGAATCTTGTCATGTCTTGACAGAGATGTATTTGTCACTGAGCCCATTCCAGCCTGGTCCACAGGGACCAGTCCCTGAGGCAGCACTAATAGCTTATCAATCATTTAGAAATATAAAATATTTGCTCATGGTGTTCGCTGCAGGTTAACATAAAAATGGTAGGATAGCAGACTGTGGAGACAGCAATCTGAGTTTCAAGGTGAGGCGGTCACCATCCAACCTGAACGTAGGACCTGGGGACACAGATAAAAGCCTGGGAGACAGAGTTGTGATAGCAGCCTCAACATGCACATTGCTGAAGGTAATTGTCACATTGCAATGCTACAACTAAAGGCTACCATAATCCCTAGATAAATACGAAGGGAAATAAGAAAGAGAAGTAGCAAAGGGAATCTGCTCCAGTACACAGCATCAGTAAAACTGCTGCAGGGAAATTCATTCTCTCCCTGTGCTTAAGCACTGAGAAGGATGTGGGAATACAAGTAGGAGCACAAGAAGGTCACAACAATGTTTTGAACTTATCCAGCTCCTCAAAGAGATATGACATACCATATAAAAGATTTATGGTAGTCTGGGGAGAAAGACGGTACAGGTTTACTCATGCTGGAAAAGACTTACGGTTTGAGAGCTGAACTTATGTACATGAGGCTATTTATACTTTGGAACTGCCTGGAAAGGGAGCAGCGTACTCATTACCAAGTGCACAAACCAGCTTCCCAAACAGACGAAGCAAGAGGCATTTAGAGATGCCCTAAGGCATCCAGCTTTGTCCCCAGCTGCTGATCCAAAGGACTCTGGAGTCCTGCAGCCCCAGTGAATAGAGATCAGCCAGCCCTGTGCTTGTTCCAGGTGCCCAAGGACACCTCTGGTGGCATCTCACCCTAGCTGGTTTTGACATTAGATCAGACACTGCTCCAGAGGAAATAGCTAATCTGCTTTGAGAAACCTCAGTGGGAAGAGATGAGGGCTGGAGGGCCAGTATGCTCACCCATAGCTTCTCCTCCACTAGACCACTTGTTAAGTTGGCCCAGACGTGGACCTAGGTCCTGATGTACTGGGCTCTGTATAGCTGGGAGTTTTGGACTTTTTCCCTCACTCCAAAGCCTTGAATCATAGCTGCACATGGAAAAAAGGTTATGATAAAAGACTAACAGCTGAAACCTACGACTTGTCTTCCTTATCTGCTCAGGCTGCAATTGTGTTAGATTTGGGATCAGAAGGGAATTTTCTTCAGCTTACATTGACAAGGATCAGAGATCTCATCTGCTTTCTCCCCAGGGCATGCAATTTAATCTTTTAAGGTCTGAAAAGCTTTGACCTAATGTCTTTGGACTAATGTGAAAACAACTAGGTGAAAATGTTGAAGTCCCTTATATAAAGACAGTCACAAACTGCTGAGCTAGTTTTTCTTCTTGACCTTAATCTCTACGGGATCAGAATGTTCCTGGAGTGTAGGTGAGCTGAGATAGGAGAAAAATAGGAGAGGCAAAATATGTGATTCAGATTTTAAAATTATAAAGTGAATAATGTCAGCTGTGTGCACACCCAAGATACAAAGCAAATCAATGCATAGTCCTGAATTTTCAGCAGAGAGGATGCTGGGTGTGGAATGGAGAGTTTAAGATAGCTCAGTATATCTTGGGTACTCTCCACTAAATATACTTATTTTCACATGGTCCAGTGCAATGCATCTCCACTCCCAGAAGGGGGTCCACTCAAGTAGTAAGACTACCTGCAGATGTGGAGTCAAGACTTCATGAGCACTAGTGCCAAGCTTGTAAAGTTCATATTTGACAGGCAAACTTTCCTTCGTGGTTTCAGAAATGCATAAACACAGAGGCTTGTAAGAGAAATCATCTTGCAGCATAGCCGCCTAGCATTTAAAAATAATCATTTCCATCTTTCATTTTTATATCGACCACCAACTGTTTCATTCAAAACCACTGACATCAGTAGAAATTTAATCACCACAATGCAAAGACTAGGCACTCCCTGGATTCCTCCTCTTTCTCCATAGACATTTTATTTCTTGTGTTCTGCCATTTTCTTTTGGCCCCACACCACTCTTGGCACAAAATGGAAGATCTGTTCATCATATTGCTAAAGATCATTCAGCATCTTGCTAAAGAAGCCCAGTCATGGATTAGGATCTCATTGCACCAGGCTCTGTATAAAAATGGAATGAAATTTTGATATCTAAATTAGGCTTTTGGTTGGAAGCTATTTGCAATCTTGGCTCTAAAAGGATTAGCTTCACCTAAACGACATGGAACAGTGTGAGAGAGATGTCTGTGCATTTGTCTTAATGTTACAGCACTGAGGACATTTGAGTAGCTGAAAAGGCCTATGAACGCGTGCCATAATCTGGGCATTACACTGCCTTGTAGCTCAGATGGGCCATGGGACAAACCCCACAACACACCCAAGGCCTGTGATTTTTTTTACAGCCAAATCCTCCTGTTTGCATAGTTTCCTTCTTTTATTTTAGGATTAGGACTTCGACTCTTCAGAAAAAATAAGTTTTTCTGCCTCTCCTTTGAATTCTTTCAGGTATGAATTACCTGGAATGCTTACCATAGCTCCCTGCCAGTGCTGGAATGCCCTCGGGACCCAAAGAGCTTCATTTAAATGCCCCATTGATGTAATTTGAAAATAGGGAAAGAAGGAGAGACTGCTGTTTTAATTATAATAACAGCAAGAACTTCTAGGAGTTCTTCACTTCAGCCTCCACTTCAAAACCAGATAGCTGAAACAATAGGGGTTTTTCACTGTCAGACACGTGCCATCATTCCCCAAAAAGAGGAATGTTGGTGTTGGGTCACTTGAGGAACTCTCATGGCTCTTCTTTGAGAAGTTTCAGGTGTCCATGAAAAGAGGCAGAAATACCAGAGAATGAAGGCAACAAAGACACACCAGCCCCAGACAGATGCAGCATGTCATGGTGCAAAATCAGGGAGAGCTTTAGGATTAAGGGCTAGCTATGACTGATTTGTGAATGTCAGCGTATTTCTACAGTCAGGTTTTTTATAGATGGTGCTGATTGTGAAATAGCTCCAGGCTGTTCTATAACACCCAAGAAAAGCCAAGAAAAATTATACAACCCAGTACTAAGTTAGTAATGGAGACTTGCAGAAACTCAGATGATTTCCTGTTCCCATGGAAGAGGCAAAGAAGGAGGATAGAAAGGAAAAAAAACGTGCCCTGGTGAGATGAAGACTAGCTGCCAGATCACCCAGGCAGGGCCTTTGGTGAAGCTGATTTCACTGGCTAAAAGGAAAAGCTTTAATACAAAGAGTTACATCACGTTTTGAGAAAAACGGGGCAGGGCACACAGATAATTTGCTATTTTGTTTAGATCATTACTGATCCCAATCTGTTTAAATGAAAACCCATCTTCAAAAACCCCTGTTTCACAAAAACTGTAAACCATAATCAAATGTGTACTTGGAAGTTAGTACATAGGAATGACCAGGAAGAACACTGGAAAGGTCGAAGAAAAAAGATCACATTGCTGTCTTTTGGGTCCAGGAGAGATAACATAACAAAGGATAGGTTCACAACATGGGCCCCAAATACAACAGCCCAGGTGAGTTTCCATCACTGGCTGAACAGACCAGGAACTTTTCTGGGTAAAGAACTATTCCCCTATTTTTTCCAACCCATGCTCAATTTATGGGTTCTGCATCAGGGAAGGTGTCTAGATTCCACATTGTCTGTCCTCTCAACCCAAAAGGAACTGGGGCTCTGGAACTATGGGACTCTGTTATCATTTAGGTATCCATCTGAGTCAAAAAAAAAAAAAAAAAAAAAAAAAAAAAAAAAAAAGAGAATGTCGAATTTGACAGTATTGAGGTTCTGGGAGCACTTTTCAGCAATTGCATGTCTATCCCACATGCCAGCCTATCATACCAATTGTCCTTGCCATGCTGTCTGCATGTGTGTT